GTTAATAAACCTCTATTTTCATCATAAATGTGGAAGAAAGACCATCCGACAACCATAATGTTCCAAACTAACTGTTATTCAGATTCTAGAGACAGATAATGTATATACTAAATAGAAACAGGCATACTTTTGCTTATCTTCTCAATCCAGCACTGTAGTCCTGTTGAAATTGAAAGGGTCGGCCAGAGCCAACTCGCCTGCAAATGAATGGTTCACCATTATATTATCAGCTTTCACCCGCTCCCTGAACCCGTATGCCGAAGCCTTAGTGTTTATATACGTTTGCAAAAGAGAATGATACGGAGTTGGCCTTGACACGTAACCATCCTGTCTCATTCTATGAAACATCTTTTCGGCATTATGTATGTCTCCTCTCCTAGCATACTCTTTCAAAATCATCATATATGTATCAAAAAATGGCTTTACCGGGTTCTGCTCTGAAGCCCTATGTAAAAACGAGTCTGCTTTTTCAAGTTCTCCTGCTTCGATATACAGTTTAACAAGAGCATCCCAAGTCAAAGGGCCAATCTGGCAACCACTTGCAGCCATCTGTTTCACAAGATTCTTTCATTTTGATAACATCTTATTATTTGCATAAACTTTTAACATTGTAGCAAAATGCTTTGATGGGATCCTTTCCCATCGTTTTGACATTTGGTCAAATACCGCCTCGGCTTCCTCAATTTTCCTTAGCTTTCCCCAAGCATTGATAGCATTCATGCACTCATCAAGCCGGCAATTGGACTTGCATACCTCCCAGACTCTTTTGACATCATCAGCACTTCCAAGTTCTACATAAAGAGGAAGCAAATACAAACAAACCCGACGGTTTTCTTTCAGGTCACTTCTTTCCATTTCATGTAGGACCACATTAGCTTTTTCATTAAGACCTCCGTACATATAGTGCCTTGCCAAAAGAGCATGTATCTTCAAATCAGGCTCTATGTCCTTGGCCTTCATTGTTTCAACAATTTTCTCCATCCCATCTATGTCATTAGCCTGGCTTTTGATGTCTACTAATAATTGGTAAGTAAAGATCGATGGTTCCACGTTTTTTTCCTCCATTAACAACAAGACATCAATGATCTTTTTCTTATCGGTTTTCTTGTATAAAAGGAGCAATTGGTTGCAAGCAGAGATTGTGATTGGGAATTTTAGGTCCTTCATTTTGTTGAATACTTGCTCTGTTTTTGTTTTATTGAAGGAGCTAACACAGTTAACTAGGAGAGTTTCGTAGATAAACTGACCTCTAAACGACTCCGGGATCTTCTCAATATAGTTTTCTACAGCTTGTAGACCATGTGCCTTGGCAATCAAATCAAGATCAGAAGCATAATCTTTCTCGTTAAACTCTACCATCTTTCGTGACTCCAACCACTCTGACAGCTGCATGACCAATATAATACAACAATTATAACGATTTATGGAAAAATTAATGAACTACCTCTTAGTTTGTCACCAGAAAAAAGGTATCCATCCAATTCATGAACATTACATTTTCAAAATCCAAGCAACCTGTAGTTGTAACTGTTACTACAATTAGTTAGGAGAGTAGTTGTTGTTGTTAGTTAGTGCCTTACAATAGAAAAATGTGAGAGGTATTGTTTCTTTGATATATGATTTCAAGAGAAATAAGGTATTTCTCTCTATAGATCAATCAGTGGAATATACAAGCTTTTGATAGTACAATGATACAACAAACTCCGGATAATTATCTCCTTAAGCCTAGGAAGATAACTTACAGAAGAACCCTATCTTCAAGGTTGACCTTTGTCTTCTATAAAATGACAATCAACTTCCACATGTTTGGTTCTATCATGATGAACCAGGTTGTCAGCTATGTTTACTGTTGCCTTGTTGCAGTAAAGTTTCTTTGGTGCTTCAAAGGGTACACGTAACTCTTCCACTAGTCGTCTTAGCCATATTCTCTCGAATATGCCATTTAACTCAGATTCAACGTTGTTTCATGATACAACCAACTGTTTTTTACTCCTCCAAGTCACGAGGTTTCCCCATACATAGCTACAATAACCACCCGTTCATCGCCCATCATTAGCAGCGCCTGCCCACTCACATCAGTGAACAACGCGATGAACTTGTTCTCTCCCTTTTTGAAGAGTAATCTTTTCTCGAGTTCCTTTCAAGTATCTCAGGACCCGATAAGCAGCTTCCATGTGTCTCTCTGGGGTACACCGGGAAAATCAAAAGAATGAATTCAGAGGGAACTGAATGGTTCGCACTTATCAAATGCTTACAAGGGAATTGTTTTATCATAATACATATCAATTTATCTTCTGCATATATTCTCATAAAATATTTAGATTCATCAAACAAACATTGTGTTGTTACTTACATTGATATAATTGTTGATTTTTTTTGTAATTTGTTTATATTAGTTCATGATATACTCATTTGCAACATTGGTCAAAAACCTCATTGAAACCCTTTTTTCCTACATGCGATTGCATAAAACGACAATAATAACTATTATTATGATCATTCTAGGATTGATTTGTTATTTTTTTCATTGGACTTGTTCAAACTTATTAGATTTGTTTTAGACAGTTTATAGTTTGATTTCTCTATAAAAAATCCTAAAAATAGAGGTTTTAATAAAATTATGTAAAATAAAAGATATATATTATATTGATTCCAATGTTAATTATATATGTAGAATTTGATTTTAGTTTAAATAAAAAAACTGATAT